AACTTCCGAGCAATTTCGCAGGACCCAACTTGCAAGCGGCGGGGAAGAAGATTGGAAAGGCTGGCTGTATTTCGGAGAGTTGGATACTGAATTATGCAAGTTTGAAGACGGAATTGACTCAGGAGGGCTCGAATCGCTACAAACACGAGCGACTGTTTGTCTCGGTTAATCGACAACTTCATCCGAGCTGGGTTGGTGATGCATTGATCTTATCAAACAACGATGTTGAGATAGCGCCGAGCAGAATGCGGCGTGTGTAATAAGCTGAGGCGAGATTGGAAGCAGAAAAGAGCAAACAGCAAAGCCTTGTGTGCGCAGCCCAGCCAAGTTTTTTGGCACATTCGGGAGCCGCGATGTAGCCGCGAATTGGAAATTCAGAAAGGGGTCGCGACGGGGGATCCGGATCGCGCGGGTCGTCGCGTCGAGGATTGGCGACAGTCCCGCGGCGCCGGAAACCGCCATGCGGGTGGTGTCGGGCCGGCGCGGTTGGCTGGGTCCGCGATCTGGGGGCGGAGTCTCGCCTGCCCGATGGCGGCTCCCGGCCCGCCGCCCTGCCATTGCCACGCGAGCTGCGACGCGACGCGCTTCAGACGCTACCCAGGAACCAGACGCGCATCATGCCGCGGGGCGAGTGACTCTCCTTCGCGGCGCTGGATCGCTCATCCGTGGCTTCTTCCCTCGCGTCCCCGGTGATTTATTGAAACGAATGCGCGTGTGGATTTCGCCGAGGAACCCCGCATTTAATTTACCTCGTCCTCTGCAAATACCTCGGAGTGCTTTCGTGATATTTTTTTTAAAGACTCGAACGCCATCGCTGAAAATTGTCTGTCAGGCTGCTCTCTTGACTGCCGGATTAAATAATATTACAAAGAGCCACACATACGTATACTGTGCAGTACACATAACGATTTAAACGGTTCGATCATGTCTGATACCCAACTGAAGATGTTACCACCGGTTCTTTTTTCGTGGTTTAACGAACAATTTGAAATAGCATTGCGTCAAACTGTGTTTTGAAAATGCGGAGGAATGTTCCCGTGCTTCCAAAAAATGTACATGAAGTGGCTAGCATGAAAAAAATTGTTCGCATCGCATTTTTTTTCTATGCTTCTAGAAATTGTTATAGTCGCAGAATTCATTTCCACGGCGGTTTCATTTGGAGATTTGTATTCGGGGAGATTTTTCGGTTTTGAAAAACAGACCCCATGCTGTTTGTCGGGACATATTTTTTGCCGACGTTACTTCTTCAAATTACGACATATCCACTCAAACAGGAACAATAATGTTCAATATTCACAATCCTTTTTATTGTTTTCTTTCATTATATTGCTCAACTGTTTTTTTTTTCATTTTCTTCGAAGGGGCCGCGGAGCCCCTGGCAACCCTAGATGAAGGTCTGAGGGGTGTCCGGGGAACACTGATTGACAACATGTGTGTTGATACTACCGTGCTTCTTTCAATGTTACAGCTTTTTTCGAAGCAGACGATTGAGAGCGTGTGTTTTAATACAGTATTACTATTTTGTTGTAGTTTTTTCCCGAAGCCGACGATTGAGAGGTGATCACGTGCATTGCAGCGTTCGTCGGTTTTATTTTTCAAGCTGCATCTAGAAGTAAACCGCGAAGGAAAACAGTGTTGTTTCATGGAGCGAATTGAGACAAACCCGGAAGATTCATTCGTTAATCAACAGTAACGACTTGTGCTGCCGGAAAATCGTAGTATTGCTCTGCTCCAAGTCGCTGAAACAGTGTCAGTTACCCTGGAGTTCATTATCAGCCGCGGCTTGTCTTCCTCCCCCGCCGGCATTTTTCCCACCGACGGTTTCGACTCCGACGTCAAAATTTCGCCGTCGAAAGCGGAAGATTTCATCATGGCCGACCAGCCGCCCATGAGTGAGTGCCACTTCGATTCATCCGTGAAACAGCCTGCAATCCGTTCTCAAGAAATTGAGAAATACTTTTCGCGTCGGGACTGCTGCAAAGAAGTTAATGAGCTTATAAACGTACAATGAAGATGACTAATTTTTCATGTAAATTATAAATTGAACGTTTGGGTTCAGAAATAGCGCGCTCGAAATTAAATCCAAACTTTTACGACGACAAACACCGTCAAATGAATTCTGCACTTTTCTGAGATTTTAAATTTATTTGAACTGACGGTTTTTAATTGGGAGTATATCCTCTGATCTACAAGCCGAATGCTACTGAATATTAACATTCATGAGAACATTCTATAATGCAAACCATGTCCCTCGAAAATTATGCTCTGAAAAAACTTGAAAGACTTCGCCTCATTGTTTTCTAGAATCATTTTATGTGTTGAAGTCCCGATCAAAACATGAGATACATTATATCAGCTTCATTGTCACGAAAATGAAAACTGAAGAACATCTCGAATTGCAGCTTTTACTCCTGCAACGGGAACGAAAGGAAAGAAAGTGGAAGATAAAGATAAGCAACGAATTCAATCCTTGAAAATGGCGCAATCATCCCCGATGAACTCGATTGAAGGTAGAAGGTAGTGACGGGTTTCCGAGGAGTAATGGCATTCAATTACTTTTCATGATCTGCAGTTCTTCCGCCCTGAGGGTAAAAAAGCTTTTTCTTCACCTCCAGGGTTTACCATTGGTAAACCTCAGGAATCAAAACATCTCCCGGTCGTCACACTAGCGTTGCACCAATAACGTTTTGCTGCCTACTGATTAACAACTCCGAGAGATTTGATCGGTGTCCACGGCGGCTCAGTAAAATCAAGATGACAGTACAGTACTTTCTGTGCTTGGTTGTGTAATTTCATTCAACATGCCACGCAATGCACGCGCTGAACTATTTCTGCATCGCCAGCGTTACGTACCGAAAGAACGTAATAATTTACAGCCCTTCACGTAAACATTTTTACGAGACCCTCGAGATTTAAAGACCAATTTTGATCCACAAATTGCTCTACTGCGCTGACGGTGATCCAAAGTAAAATTTGTCCGTAAAAATTTAAGGCACGCACAAGCCATAAAATTGCGTTATGTTCGCAAAGTTTTCCGGAAATAATCCAATGAATGAAGTTGAGAATGCGAAGATACAAACCTAAAAAAAAAACAGATTGTTCGACAACCATACGTCACGCCTGACTCTGTCATACCAAGGAATCTTGGGAGCGGAGTGGAACATTTTTCTATCCAGGATGTGCGTGATCAATGTCTGTTGATTGACCTGATTTCATCGGTGGGCGCAAAGTTTGCTGCTTGCGACAGGTCGCGATAAACCTTACCAGATCAAAAGCAAGATTCGTAACAAGGTCGGCTCAACTTTTTTCCTCAAACAGCTTTCTCCCCGCATTCCACTCGAAGAATTTCTTGGGCTCTTCGCGAATCGAAAGCGAGTAATCTGAGGCAATGAATTTACTCGGTAGTTCATGGCAGTTTGCTTGGCAATTCTCTATGCAAAGTTACCGACGGACTTGTGCAAACTATTGAGAATGTGTGTGTAGCTGTTTATGACTCGGCCGTAAGTGCGAACCGCTGTTTACCCCGAAGCAAGGGGGATTGAGTTGAATGAGCCGACTAACAAGTGTCCGTGATTTTTGGTATGTAAAAGATTCATCAGTAGCTTCTCGTAAAGTTATTCCACTGACTCTGAAACATTCTGCCTTCGCGGTACTCGTACGTTTTTCACACTTGAAAGCAAAATGCACGAAAATTCCTCAGAACCAGCATATAAAAGGCTGCATTCATGATACCATGATTTATCCAGAAGCAGTCAACTACATTACAGTAAATGCCTTTACCGACTAGCAGCAACATTTAATGGCAAAGCGATCCCTTTGGTAGAGACTTTGATGTAATTCCGGTGGGTAAACCATAATCTCATTTTACCATCGTATTTCTCTATAATAATAATCACGTTTAATGGTCTTGATCATCGCTCAGGCAAGATGCAATTTATTTATTTCGAATTACAGGGAAATAAGATCACGACTTCAAGTTCGTGCAGTGATTCTTCAAAGAAGACAACAGGATGTAAATAAGCTTTGCATTTAATTGAAATCGTCCCGACACAGCGATTGAAGCAAGGCGTTAGTCCTACATTTCAGACAAATCGGCAGCAAGAAAATGACTAGAAGTCGCACGATTTAAGGTACAGTATCTTTGTTTCAAGACGAATTTAAACTGCCTCTAGTTTCTTGTTCATATACTGTACTTTAAAAAAAAAGTATTGCTCGGAAAAATGTTATGCATTTTTCCAATGGGCGCTGGAACTAGAATCGCTGTCATCGAGGAAAAAAAAGAAGTGCTGCTCACGTTGAAAGAATCTATTTTAATGTGGCTGATGAATTTTATAAACTATCAGAAGAGAAAAAAATAAGGGAACTGTGACATGGTTGTCCCTTCAAGAGTTAAGCTACAATTTTTAATTCTGCGAAAAGCTGGGAGCAAGAACATGGCTAGAAAAAATGTTCACGGGTCAAGCTTTTCAAGGTATTCCCACAGTCATGATGGCAACGTCTGTGTGCTTCTAGCTGCATGGACAGTACTACGCATATTGAAATGAATTTGTCGAGCCATGTCCTCTCTTCTTCAGTGACTGATCGCTGGAGTTGGGAATCGATGGTTTCGGCGATGCTTAAATCTTCAAAACATGGCTTTGTAATTCAAAGAAACCAGTTTTTGTTCAGGACAGGTAGTTTTAGATAAGTATCAAAAGCTTTTCTTTGACGATAAGCAACAATTAGAATTAAAAATCAGCAGTCAGTGAACGTTGAATGATTCCAGTGTGGGAGAAATTGGTTCGAGGAGCGCTAATGACCGAAGCTCTTGTGACCTCGAGTAATAAATTGCCTAATGAGTCGCCGGGGTAGCAAACGACGGGCTTTACCCAGGAATCGCGAGATTTTCTTGTTGCAATTTATTACCTGACCGGCCTGGCGCGGTTACACGCCGAGGCGCCGCTCGGATGCTTTCCTCGACGACCCGGGGAAGAGTAGTATTTCGATTAGGAGCAATTAAAATGCGTCGGATCCCCGGCGGTGGTCGCCTTCCGTTGTCACGGCCTGAGGCGCCGGTCGGTACTGTCATTCCTCGACGAGTCGCCGCTGCTGCGGGCCGAAGCCACCACCAGGTTAACATGCCCATTCAACCATGCTTTTTCAATCCTGCGAAGGGAACGGATTTCGGACTCGCTGGACTTGCGAAAACATTGAGCACATTCTGAGCGAGCTCGAATCGCGAATGACAAAATGCCTAGCGATGTCGGGACCTCGTTCTTCGTGTTCCTTCACTAAAGACAGCATTTTTTCAAAGACTTTTATTCAACTCGACTTGGGAGATATACGAGTTTCAATGTAAACAAATCATTCAACGTAAGTTTTTACTCACTCCTAATTCGAATTACTGTATAATTCTTTTACTCATGCACCCTCCAAGGAAAGCTAACAGACATTTGTTGAATATGTAAGGTATTATTTCTGATTTGAATAGCGCATACAGTTAGTTATACGAGTCACGTCTCATAGTTTTCGCAATTTTGGAGAATTTCATGCATTCTGAATCTGAGCCATGATAGTAATTTGTCCCTTCCGAGTTTCGCCAGAAATGGTATTGCATGAATGTTGATGAAAGAATGTTGATGACAATTTTTGCGTAGAAGTACGCAGGCGGTGTTTGAAATAGCTGAAGTCGAATGCGCAGTTGGGTAATCGAAGATCAAGGGTCGAAACCATCTACCAATAACCTTATCTTCTTTTTACTTGGCGAATAAACTCATAATTAATGAAGAATAAAAATAGCTTGTTGCCTATTTTTAGCTCATAAGATTTTGGCGCAAGCACATCACGCTTAATCGTCTATTCTGCGTGCGAAGAACGTTTTCTACCCCAACTTAAGATGGATATATTTCGCATTACAGGTGTTTCGCTGATCATAAATTTTTTTTAATTCGACGAATCAATAAAAATGGTTGTTCTCTGGAGGTACATTGCACGAAGGGTGTTTTCATATTTGTTGGGGGAAAATCGAAGCGCTACTGAAAAATAGTTGACGGATATCTCTTAATTCACACGAAGGGCATTATTGAACATCTTCAATAAGCTTCCAAACAGGAAACCTACGTGAGCTTTAAAAACGGTATCAAATCTAATTATTTTACTGCGAAGTTTTATTGTATAGAACTACGATTATCCAAACTAATTATTATCGAAGATAGTTAGGATGATCGAATATTCGGATGATCGGCCGAGTTTTAGTCATTAGTCTACTTTATTCAGTATATTTGAACAGTACGCATGAAGTACCATCTATGGTTTGTGCTGTGAATCCTTCTGACGAACATTATGGATTCATCAAGCACCATTTTGAATTCAAGCTAGATGATGAAATATAATAATGCTCTAAAAAATAGTCAAGCCCAGGAACCATTTTGAAAAACATTTCAGATAATGGAATGTTCGCTGGATTGGAGCTTGGATAATCGGAGTTATCCTCAGTTATAAAAATTGTCTAAGTTTTGTGTGCGTCTACGTAAGAAAATCAAATTTCGACTGATGCTAGAAAAGGTCATACACTCCGCGGAATAGCCATCAGATTTGCGCAATGGACGCAGATTCCGCCGCTATGCACACAGTATCTTGCCGAAATCCGTGCTTTCTCCCAAATGGAAGGCTCGTTTCTCTGCGGATACTCTCGCTGATTCGTACTCCTTTTTTCTCTTTCTTTCTTGTTTGCATTCATTTTGCAGAGCGGCGCCGGGCTAGCTTATGCGTCGGTTGTGGGTCCCAGATCTACGACCAGTACATCTTGCGGGTCGCGCCGGATTTGGAGTGGCACGCCGCGTGCCTCAAGTGTGCCGATTGCCACCAGTTCCTGGACGAAACGTGTACCTGCTTCGTTCGTGACGGCAAAACCTACTGCAAGAGGGACTACGTCAGGTCAGTCCGGCGAAGTTGTCTTCGCACTTTGATTCAGGCCTTTTCAATCCGTGGAATACTTACCACTGTTGGTTAGCGGCCACCTGCCGGGCGATGGACGATATTTTACTTGTGCGGATGTATTCTTTTCAATGAGTGGGAAATTGGTCCGAGAATCACATGAAATTTTCACTTTGAGATATAGGGCAATGAAGAGAGGTTAATGCGTTTTCTGATGCAGGAGCCCCTTTAAACATGTAAATGGAATGTGAAGTCTACGTTGCGTGTGAATTATGAAATCAACACAAAGTAAATTGTTCATTTGAGTTGAAGCCAAAGGTATCCCTCGATGCACAGGAGGTATTTCGCAAGCACTGCGTGTTTTTTAAATTGTACAGTCTAGAAAATGTTCAGAAGTACTTATAAAACAGAGTGATATCCAGGGGTGTTAATGGTACTGAAAACATTTTTACATCACCACAACCCATGCTTAAACAATTTTTTACTACCACTCCTGCTACAGCATTGAAATTTGTCAGTATAGCATTACATTTTTGAAAACCGTTCCACTACTACTGTACCATACTGCTATTGATTTATGAATATTTCCACCAATTATTTTATTTACAAATGTGGGCAAATTTTCACACTGAGGTCCAAGGGGGGAACTGAGGTGAGCTAGGGCTGGAGTGGTATACTCCATCCCCCATTTTTCTGACTTCTTTTCATCTCTCTGGGGTATCACATATCCCCACCTCCAGATGTTTGCAGCTGAAAAAAAAGCTCCTCAAGAATTGTGGGGTGGAAGAAGTGTTCAGACTTAAGAGATGATAAAAATTTTAAAGCAAGGTACAGTTGAACCTTGATAAGTCAAACCTCACTAAGTCTATGACTTCAAGTCCCTATCTGAATCCCCTTAGAAACAATAAATTGAAAACCTCTCCAACTCAAAGTTGTGTAGAAATGAAATTGATAAGTTCTTGAGTTGACGTGAACCCCTGGATCTAATACCCAGGAAGTGGTCCGTACATTATTGAAAGAAATACAAATCAGAATCAGGAACTTGTTGCAAAGTTTTCCCCCATAGTATAAAGAGGAAAAACACATCGTGGCTCCAGGAGTGAAAAAGTTGTGAAAAATAAAAGAATCTATGGATTATTATATTCAATCAATCACAGGTCACCCCTCCCCTTCCCCGAAAAACCGCACCCAAGAACTTACAGGCTGAAAAGTGCAATTTTAGAATTGCTTTAATTGCTATGTGCTATGTTGGTCAAAAGCAATTATGTGGTGTACCCTTCAATCGAGGATCCCATCACATGTTAGACCATAAAATAAAAGATTCACCAAATCTAAGGTGCCATTAATTATAAAGTGTATGCCGATTTGTGTAGCAAAATTCTCCGAGAGAAGTTTCTCTTATTTTCGAGTAAATATAGTACATTCACGTAAACCGTAAATGCGAATGTGATTCGTTCATGATGCCCCAGTAAACCTTATATCCCATTCGCCTCTTGTAGCCAATCAGACAAGCTTTTATTTCGGCTTCGTGAACACGCAATGAAATTGGGATGAAGCATGGTCCATTCACTGATGTAAAAATGCGCTTTCTCGTCTCAAAGAAGTAATGTAGCGAATGCTTCCAACCCATTTTCCGAGCTTTCAGAATCTTCGCGAAGTCGCCGAAACCTTTGACGGATACCTGAAAATATAATTTAGCGATATGCAAATTTTTCGAACTTTTAAAGAAATTAACGATTCAGGATAGTGCACCAGATTTCCTTAAACGTCTGCCACGCCGTTTCACTCATGAGAGACTTCGTGTCCGCGCCGCCTAATCTTGCCGGAAAAATCTTACAGAGATCTGAATGATGGAGAGAAGTTTCTGATGGTGGTAGGGAAAGAAGAGGACTTAGTAATCCCGCTTGAGTCTATCCCAGGGAGTCTAGTCGGTCGTGAACAGCGAGCGACGCGAGGAGCAATCAATCTCGCCGTTCAAAATCTGGGAGACGACCGACGCAACTCGACGCGATCCCATAAATCTCGCTCGACCATTACACTGCTGAGATCGCGTCACACCACGGCGTCCTCGTTTGCCAAATATCATCGAATTCATCGCTTGCCGCGGAAGGTCTTTTTTGTTTTAGTTTGATCGTTTGCTCGAAGCGAGTTTTAGTGCATGTCCCGAGACGAAGGTCAGGTTTCGAATGTATTTTATTGCCCCACATTGCATTAGTACTTCTGGACTTATTCAGACGGATAAGCCGTCTTGACGAAGCGCAGTCTCCGTTGGCTCAACTCAACAATTCAAAAAACTCGTTAATCCCCTCGTGGAAACAAAAAAAAACGTTCTTCGCGAATCTTTTTCGTTGAAAAAATTTGAATGTCCGAGGAACACGACGCAGCGCGAAGAAAAAAAAGTACAGTACCTGGAAAAATTCACCAACCATTTCAGAAGTATTTAACCAGTTGAATCACCATTTTTACCGTTCGACGCCGTTCTCAAATATTTAAGAAAAATGTTTACTCCAATAGTTTGATTAGGGTGTGCTGAATGAAGAGTCTACAAATATCCTCATAACTGAAAGCTTCAAGTTTTATTGCTCATGTGGCAAGGGCAATGATGAAATAAGACAATAGTTTCAGTTTGATTCGGTTTACCTAGGTTATTATGTATTGATGTCAACTTGCTTTGCAAATTCATATTGCAAGAAATTTACCAAGTAACCGTTTTTCCACTCGCCGAAAAAATTAACCTGTCAAATAACTTGTAAAATTATTTTACGAAAAATACGGCAGGCCTCACGTTATCAACATGATTAGAGTTCAAAAATACGAAGGCTTCCTGAGAGGATCGGTCTTACTCAAGATGGAACGAACAACAACGTTTATCAATTAAATTGGACCATGATTTGAAGATCAGTCTGATTTGGCAGCCATACTTGGTTTGAGCGGAGGAAACGTCGATGCGAAATTTCGGTGAAGCGACGAAGTCATATTGTGAGGGTAACAATTATGAAGGTGTCCGAAAATACCGTGGGTTCTCATTCAATGATGGATTTCCCCCGGAATCACGGCAGTACGCAGGGTTCGACAAAAGTTCGTGATCTCATTTTTCCTGCGACCAGAATGTAATTAACCCGCTAAAGCGTTCTTTCTTATTTTTTTCATTCATCGTTCTGGAGTGTGGGAAACATGTACCGAACAGTATAGCATGGTTAATTAGAAACAAATTTCCGACCAAGGTGGGGCGATCGTCACCAGTAGGGTTGCAGTTGTGGGATTCACTGACATACGCAGGAATTCGTCGTTGCCCGTCAAAGTTATTTTCCTCCTCGTTTATGGGTAGAAGGATTGAGTGGGTTGAGTTAGAAATCGTGCCTGTGAAGTCACTCATTAACGCCTGCGGGGCTGCTCTGGCACAACCGACATCGCTGTCGAGCCCGGCACCGGCGCGCCGGCCGATTCCCCCTCATAAAATCACGGTCAAATAGCTCCGTGGCGACGGCGGAAAAATTGATTCGGTCCGCCGTAAATCAAGCACGTCATCGACGTGTGGCTAAATGTTATGAGATGGAATGCGGTTTGACCGGATGGGAGTCGAAAAGGGAGTGATTAGGAATTCGAACTCCGCCGAGTTCACTATCTACAAAGGCTGGCGTGGAAGTTCTTTCTTATCGGATGCCCCGAGAGAAGCAGTCTGAAGGGCGTTATTCTCAGGACGGAAGTGTTGTCTTTCGTGTTTGGACTTTTGAACTCAACAGCAAAGAAATATCTGAAATATGATGAAACCAATTCATTTATGACCCTAACCATTTATTTTTGCGCCCAATGTACTCCCGAGAAATCTTTTACTTGGCATGCTTTACTTGGAAATACCAATTCAGAATTTCATCGACCAACTTCAGGCTTCGGCGGGTAATTATTAAGTTGTTCCTCAGTGGACCATCTGATAACATCATTCAATTCCTCGAAAATTCGAAACAAGGAAACGCAGTAATGAAGTCACATCTTGGCGCCGCGTTTTCACATCGTCACAGTATAAGGTTGCTTTTACATTTTGTAATACCCAATTGTCGGGGAACGGCTGGATTTGTTTTCATCTCTTTAGCACTGAATCTTTTAGACATGAAAATGAATATGCGGAATTCTGAAAGATAAGTTCCAAGCATGCTGTACGAAGTTGAAGACTATACCCTGGAATTGAAGATGTTGTCTTGTTGAAAGCATAACGTTCTTTAAAAATCAGATCAACTTGATGATTGTCCAGAAGCCTGAGCACAGGGGTCGAAATATCAAGCAAAATTTTGCAATGACGGTGAATTGAACGAATTAAAAATAAAGGATGTCTGGCAGTAATAGAAGCGGCCGCACAAACTCACCCTGTGTACAACAATTTTTCTTCACGAAGATTTTTCCTGGTCTTCACCGTTCTTTCGTCAATTTGAAAGCAGCTTCACCATCAGGAATGTACCTGTATGATGCCATAAATTGTGGGGACTCTTCAGTATCATTTTATATACCATAGAGGACACCTGCATTGCCAAAATTCTCGCTATATTCATTCGCTGTAAAATCAAATATTGTACTTTTAATGTAAATTAATAATCAAATACAGTATTCGGTGTTGTACTGTATTCATGTAAGCCACTTTGTTGTCTGAGTGGGAATGAATATCCTATTTCAAGCGAAAGCCAGGCCGACACGGGCAATATACACCACTATGAAACGGTGATTTCCGCTCGACAGCAGGTGAGAATCGTGAATCAAGGCACGCCTTGTAAAAATAAAAAAGGTGGTCACGGAGGCGAACAAATCGGGGTTCCGAGCGTGGGACGACTAATGGGCGACCCGCAGAATTTAAGCAGAGCAATTACTCCCCGAGGTAACGAGCACCGGAGTAATTTGCGGGCCTGGCGTTTGATGTCGCGGAAAATGCGGGAAAAACGACTTTGACTCGCGAAGACTTGACGTGTGGGGTCCGAGTCGCGGAAAAGCGATTCGCACTGGTCGTTAGAACG